ATGTCTTTTCTGTCTTTTTGTTTTTGGTTTTGGTTTTGGTTTTTTTGTTTGTTTGTTTTGACTTACATCCAAGTTAGTTAGCATGTAATGCTATAATGATTTCAGGAGTAGATTCCAGTGATTCATCTCCTACGTATAACACCCAGTGCTCATCCCAACAAGGAGACTACATTTCTAATCTTAGACCCATTTATTTCACATGCTGAAGAAGATAAAAACTCCTGAAAGCCGTAGGAAATAATCAAAGTCATGGCTAGGTCCTGCTGACTGCCACCATGTTTGAGAAGAGACACACTGGCAAAAGCATCCAACATTATACAACTTTGAAAGATGCCTTCAACCAACTCCCAAAGTATTGTTTGTTTTACACTTAAAAATAAATTATTGTATAGAAATAATGTTATTGGCATCATCCACTCAATTTCTGGTTCCTAGAAATAAGACCAAGAGAACAAATAGAGCTTCTTGTAGGTGAGAAGTCAAATGAATACTTGCACAAGCCAAGAAGGTTCTAGATCCTTCTTTCACTTGATTGTTCTCTTGTTTGGTAAACACCAATTGAGACTTTTCCCCGTATCAGGAATAGCTCTGGCAGTGACCATGATCGTTATGGTCCCTACTGCTATGGAGTTATCTCTGGTTGGAGAAACAGACTTTAAGTAATGAATGATACCATTTTAATTTATTTTACTAAAATCATGACAAACCCATAACATGTGGAAATATACAACCAGGGCACCTATGTATTCTTTCAGGATGAGGAAGACTTCCTTAAGGAAGTGACTTTTGAGGTGAATTCTAAGTGGGAGAGAAGAGTGTTCTAGAAAGAGAAAACAATGAAAATGACAGAGCCTCATGGAAGCAGAAATGCTATTTTATAAGAGATATAAAGTGTAAAGGCAGGAGTAGAAAAACTGGCTTTCTTGGTAACCTCTAGGCTACCTCTGGAAAGGGATGATGGAGGATAAGCTGGAAGGAATTAAAGCAAATACTTATTCTTCAATGTCATTCCTATAGTTTAAAATATGCTTTAGGAGAATGTAACGTCACATTTTGCCCATTTTAAAAATGAAAAGAAGTGACATATTCTACTGTTTGTCCTTGAGGGTGAGAGATCATTATGATTCCAGGCCGGAGCGAGTGGATGATTCCAATGAAAATTTTCTTGTTACCTAGTTTTTAGATGGCATTAGTCATTAATAAAAAGCCAATGAGTATTTCATGGCCATTTTATTTTAAATATTTTTTTCCTTACTTGATTCTTTTATTTCTTTCTCTTTTAATTAAATGATGAGTGGTTAATCTATTTTCCACTCAGACCCATCGATCCCTTGGCCATCCCACTTTTCATTTATACTCTTTCAGGTACACTCTTCTGGAAAGCTTGATTTTGGACCAAACATGTAAAGCTGAGTTCAATGGAACTTTCTTCATATTGAAATGTCAGAATTTATTCACCTTCACTTCAAACCATATGTGTAATTATTCATAAAACCTATCAAACATGCCACCATATTCACAAAGATGTCTAATATGCAGGTCTCTTGGATCCAACATCGACATACTTCTAGCCTAACATTTACCCACCCCTTCACTGACCTTTATTTTCCTATATCCATGCACAGTGCTGTTCTTTCATTACACTCTCCTGGCCATTTATCTCTTGCCATCTCAAATTTCTGTGATAAGGAGGCTAATAACTTGCTTTCTCAATCCAGACTGCAACCTTGACTCATCTACTCAACAAGCATTTAATACATTTTAAGCAGCGTATTCAGGGCCCCTGTAAGACTTTGATTTGGTACTCATGGCTGGCCTGATAGTTTATTTCTGTTACAAACTTACGTTTCCTTGGCATATTTTTCTCCATTGGATACAGCATGGAGCTAGGAGCCAGAAGACCCAGGAGCTAGGAGCCAGAAGACCCAGGTGTACCCAGGGCCTCTCCATTTGGTAGGGGTGCAAGTTTAGGAGCTCACCCAGGCCCTCTGGGTCCTCACATCCTCATCTACAAAGGCTGAGGGAGCATGGCAGTCTTTCTCCATCACTGGGCTATACCGAGTGAGGGCCTTCCTTGACCTCTCAGAGGAGGAGTGAGGACTCCAAAATGTAGATTGCCATAGCATCCTGCTTTACTTCTTTAAAATCCTCATTGCTCATGAGAAAGAATGAAATATGGCCCTTTGTAGCAACGTGGATGGAACTGGAGAGTGTTATGCTAAGTGAAATAAGCCATACAGAAAGACAGATACCATATGTTTTCACTGTTATGTGGATCCTGAGAAACTTAACAGAAGACCACGGGGGAGGGGAAGGAAAAAAAAAAAGAGGTTAGAGTGGGAGAGAGCCAAAGCATAAGAGACTCTTAAAAACTGAGAACAAACTGAGGGTTGATGGGGGGTGGGAGGGAGGGAAGGGTGGGTGATAGGTATTGAGGAGGGCACTTTTGGGGATGAGCACTGGGTGTTGTATGGAAACCAATTTGACAATAAATTTCATATATTGAAAAATAAAATAAAATCTTCATTGCTCTTGTAATTGCTCTTTAGACGCTGGTTTTTCTCCACCCACCCGGAAGTAATCTCCAGGAAAGCAAGACTATCTTAGTGCCACTAATTATCAGCTGATGACTGATTACTGAGTAACTTTTTAGGCAAGAAGCTACCACTACCATGCTGTCATTGCCATTACTGTCAGTAGCAATGGCAGTACCAGACACAGTCGTAGGAGTTCAATTATTAGCACCATCCAATATACAACAGAAAGAAGCCACAAAATAATATTAGGTCTTATCAATATTCCTTACAAATGTTTCCTCTTTTCCTCTTCATTCTTTTAACTGATAGAAACAAATAACTATATGGTTAAACGCCACAGCAATGGTCCAAAGTACAATACTTTGCTTATGTTATGTATCAATCTTTGAAATGTATCAATCTCTAACCCCCACCTAGAGTATGATCCAAAAGAAAGAAAAGCGTGTTCTTATCCTGAAGCAGATGAAAAACCCTTCCCCGATTTATGGGGACGGATGTAAAGAACTACAAAAGCAGCCCCTTATAAGAAAAGGATTTGTAACTGAAAACAAAAGACAGTGAAGAGAATCAAATTCCACAGGAGGAAGAATCAATTCCCTCTCCCCGGGATGATGTGGCTTGACTCTTCACCCTTAAAGAGTAAGGAAATGGACTAAGTGAAAATGCAGTGGGGTGGTAAGGATGCCACTTTTGGAAAGGTGATATGTTTTGAACACGAATTACTGATATTTGGAGGGAGAGAGGGAGAACAAAGCAAGAGAAGATGCCAGGGCAGTCCACCAAGGAAAAGGAGTTTATTGGGCTTTATGAAGAGATCAGTGTAGAGGATAAGTCCAAAACATCCACAGACCAGAAACCCGATGGGACGTCCCCTGATGGCTTCCCAAGGCCCTAGGATCCACCCGCCATCCCAAAGCCTTGTCTGCAGCAGGTGCAGTTTGTTAAGGAAGCGCCTTTAATATGTCCCGTTGCTCGGACAGCTTGCAGATGCAGAATAAGCTACCTATTAAAAATATTCCTTCCCAGGCTGGAGAGGGAAGATGGCGGCGTAGGAGGACGCTGGGCTCACCGCGCGTCCTGCTGATCACTTAGATTCCACCTACACCTGCCTAAATAACCCAGAAAACCACCAGAGGATTAGCAGAACGGAGTCGCCGGAGCCAAGCGCAGACGAGAGGCCCACGGAAGAGGGTAGGAAGGGCGGCGAGGCGGTGCGCGCTCCACGGACTGGCGGGAGGGAGCCGGGGCGGAGGGGCGGCTCGCCAGCCAAGCAGAGCCCCCGAGTCTGGCTTGCAAAAAGCGGAGGGGCCTGACGGACTGTGTTCCGACAGCAAGCGTGACTTAGCGTCTGGGAGGTCATAAGTTAACAGCTCTGCTCAGAAAGCGGGAAGGCTGGAGGACAAAGGGAAGAAGAGCTGCTGAGCCCCC